ACTTTGGCTGGCTGCGGCTCGCCTCTTGTTGGTGTGGAAATAGATTGTGTCATTTGCTACCCCGGAAACCCCCCGCTTGCACTGGCGAACGCCAGCCCGATTTGGGCTGGCTTATACACACACCTATGACTCAGCTGCCAGGCAACTGGACCAGGCCACGCCGCTGCCTTTCCAGGCGACGTTACGCATTTTGGCTGGCTGCCGCTCAGCCTGCACCTCTTTTCTTTAAGCTGAGTCATAGGTGTGCGTACAAGCCAGCCATCGGGCTGGCGTTGGCCAGTGCAAGCGGGGGGCTTCCGGGGTAGCAAACGACGCAATCTATTTCCACACCAACAAGAGGCGAGCCGCAGCCAGCCAAAGTGCCTGACGTTGCCTGGCACGTTGCCTTCGGGGCCCTAAAGAAAAGAGGCGCAGGCCGAGCCGCAGCCAGGCAAAATTGGCCTGGCCCAGTTGCCTGGCAGCTGAGTCATAGGTGTGCGTACAAGCCAGCCCAAATCGGGCTGGCGTTGGCCAGTGCCAGCAGGGGGTTTCCGGGGTAGCGAACGACGCAATCTATTTCCACACCAACACGAGGCGAGCCGCAGCCAGCCAAAGTGCCTGACGTTGCCTGGCACGTCGCCTTCGGGACCCTAAAGAAAAGAGGTGCAGGCCGAGCCGCAGCCAGCCAAAATGCCTCGGCGCCTAACGTCGCCTGGCCGAGCCCAGCCCAGTTGGCTGGCAGCTGAGTCAGAGGTGTGCGTACAAGACTGCCCAAATCGGGCTGGCGTTGGCCTGGGCAACTGTTTCACCCTGCGGTGTCCCGGGCGCCGCCCCGCCTAGGCGTCAGCTAGGCAGGGGTCGGCGGATTTCCATATGTTTCTTGTGTATATTGTGTGAAAATCTAGTAGCCAAATCGCTAGTGGGAGCTTCCTTGAGGAAGCGTGAGCTATCCTGCTCAGAGTAGGCGCCTACTTAAGTAGGAGCGGGCTTGTTAAAAAAATCCCGCCAAGCAGCACAGTTCACTCGGCAGAGCTTGCGAGATCGACATGTTCTTCGTAGAGTAGACACAGCCAGTGGGGACCATCAGAAGCATGCTTGAGACATTTGCAAGTGGTTGGGCATATTGATATGATATATGCAAATGATTTGTTACAAAAATCGTGGTTGCAGCAAAGCAGGATTAAATTCTTAGAAACTTTACGAGAGTTGTTTCGCAACAGAATGAACTGGGTTTCGGCAGGTGACACTCCTTCGTGTGCCGCAGTCCATTGCTCCGCCGCCATTTGCCTCACAATCTGCGAAACCAACAAACTTGTGAGAAAAAGTGGTGCAGCAGAGATTTGCATTTCTCAGAAAAATGATTTGTTGCAACGATGCTGAGATCTCATTTTCAGACTGCTTGGAGCTTCTCAGTGCTTCCAGTGTTTGCAGGCCTTCCCGGACAAGCTCCAGAATGTGAGTGGCTTGTAAACAAGCTCTGACTAAGTCGCACGATAAGAAGGGGCTATGCCCGCCGATTTGCAGCCACAATCTCCACCATTGATTTCATGCTGTGAAAGCAATGCTAGTGTCGTTGGTTTGGATCCTTCCAGCGCAGAAAAATGCATGTGAGCGCTGCGAGGAGAGTTTCAAGCAGAGCCAGTCCCACGAGAGTCGTTCCACCGAGCTGCTGGAGAGGTCCACGCTTTGGCGGTTTGGACGACTTCTACCAGTTCTTGCAGGTTTAGATGAGCTTCGCAACTTACTCAGGAAGAATAGTAGATTTCTTTCAACAAACGCATGAGGTCGAGTTTCTTGGCATGAGGTCGAGTTTCTGCACAACCACAAGCGCTCAGTTCTCCAGAGGAGCTCGCAGACTTTGAGCAGCTGGGTTCAGCGTTCCGTTTTGAGAGATTCTTTTCTCCAGGCTTCCAGACTCAACAAGGGTGCAGGCGGCGTTTGCCTTTGGCGGTTCAAATGCAGTCCAGTTCGACTTCAACGAAGGCTTCTGGGCCTGGTCTTCAATCGTGGTGCGCACCCAGTTACAGCTCGCATAATGGTCATTTTGCAAAGTTATGGTGAGACACAGCCAAAGGAAGCGGCCTTGCTTGGAGTGGTTTGCGCGACATGGGCTTGCGTCTGAGAAACTGTTGGTCGTACCAACCTTTGGCTTTTGAAACAAGAAAAGGGAGAAAATAGGGGAAGAAAAAAGTACATGATGAGATGAACAATTGCCGGTAACCCCCCGTCGAAGAGTTTCTACATATATAGATTCTATATGATTCTACACTATACATTTCATTTGCACCGAGGCACGGCACCTCGGCTGTGTTGGAGGAAGTGCAGTGATGGCCGGTGGCAACCTTGGGGGGTTCCAAGTCGCTTTAAAGCGACTGTGCAAAATGTGATGAAAGAAGTTTGCTCTGTTTGCTCTACCCGTTCCTACCAGGCTCACCATTTTATTTGCAGAAGGGAGTACCCCTAGCACCCGAAAATGAAGGTGACACTCGAACACGAACCTAACAAATGAAATTCAGAATCACATTGGACACGCAAGTGGCCCCCAGTGGCCCCTGGCACAGATGGGAGAACGCGCATTTGCGCAGGCGAATCTCTTAACGCCCGAGCACAGCAATGATCCTACCTTGTAGTCTACAAAGGGAGACCCAGCCATTGGGGGACTGAGCGTTCAGGTTGCATGTGCGCATTGCACGGGTATGCTCTCAAGACAGGTTCAGCCGTTGATGTTCGATGGCAGGGTATTTACACGAATAGACTCACTGGCTCAAAAAGGATGGAAGCCCCATGATCAAGTTCACCATGCCTCATTGGGCACGCAGGAGGTGCGCTATTTGATTTGGCCACTTTCAAGTGGCCAAAGTGGCCCAAGTGGCCGAGGTAGATAGCTCTTAATATATATATATATATAAGACTAAGGTATCAGATAAGTTTGAAGTGGTCCATGTGGCCGAGGAAGAGGACTTGGCAGGAGAGTCTGAAAGGAAGGTTTGACAGGGCCCATTTGTACAATACAGCACAGCCAGCTTGACAGCAAGTTGGACATAGTGGGCGCTTGCCCGCAAAAGTAGCCTGGTCTCAGGACGCATAAGTTGCGCAGAAAGTAAGAAGGCAACCTCAAAGCTCCAGAACAATTTGCCGGCTGTATGACTGTAGAAAGCTCGTGCACAAGCACCTGGAACTTCATCAAATGCAAAGCCTCGACCAGAGTCACAGGACGACTCACGGATATCATCGGGGGTTCCATGGCCCAATTTGTACCCCTCACCAACGGAGGGAGCCATCGCTACCAGGCCCAAACGGGTGGGGTGTTTTGGCAATATGCACGTCATGACCTTCACTAGTCCTTACAAGAGCTCCTTTGGAAACAAGAATCGCCCCATCCTGTTGTCGCTTTCTTATTGAACTGTCGCTTCCTTTTGAATATTGAAGGGATTGTCGCTTCATTGGTGGCTGCGCTGCCTGCAGCCGTCAGAGGCTTGGACTTGCGCAAGGGAGCATCGAAACACAGCAGGACACTTTAAGCTGTGAAGGTAAACTTGGACTTTGAGAAGCAGACCTTTGAAACGCCACTGGAAAACTAGACATGTTGGTATATAACAACATGTCGACAATGTTGCCGGCCGGAACTATCACTATAAAGGCCAAGGGCATCCAACCATCCAACAATTCAAAGACTTTATCCCCACACAGTTCACGACTTGTGGAAGCTGGTGCCACTAGTCCATTTACTGTATCTCTTTCTGCATCAACAGCATCCAAGATTCACTTTCCCAAACGCAGCCATGATGCAAGAAATGCTACGGCGTCTACAACATTCCTTACATAATCAATAAGAACAGATCTCAACTAGGTCCATGTGTAGTTTATTGCATAGTCGGAACGTGTCACTAGATTTTCAAAACCCGAGTGACGTTCCCCAGTGATGTTTCCTGAGTGGAATTGCCTTCGCATGACCCCACCTATGACCAGCACAAATACCCGGTAATCACCCCGCACTTGCAGCACTTGTCAGGGACCTTACAGCACCCACACATACACACGGCCATTGTAGAACCACTTGCAAATTTGAGTGTGCACTCACTCATGCTGATTTGATCTTTGCCGCTATGCGCAACGTAAGAATGTGCTGGAGTGTTTTACCTACAGACACGGCAGGCGGTGGCCAGCCTGAACTAGACTATACAGTGTACAGTGAATGATAGAGTAGGTTGTGAGCAAGGCATCCAAAGTAGGTTATCAAGTATTGCAGAGGAAAGTCATGTTGTGCCGTTAGGTGGCCTGTGCATACACGAGACACTAAGACATATCTCCACAAAACAGCTATGATCGCCCGCTGTATTTACACATACACGTAGTGACTTAGTGCATGGAACGGAGTGGTAATTCTTCTGAGGTTGTGTTGGCGGTGACTTTTTTCGGATGGTACAGAGCAGATGTGGCAGTGGCGAATCTCACAGAGTGTGCGCCCCAGGAACTTAATTGGGCTTTGGGGCAAGATAGCAGGGAGTTTGTCCTGTGCTGTCAGATGACCTTCCATCAACTAACCGAGTTTAGGTCCCATTCGTTGCATCCACCGGAACAACTTGGCCGGTACGATTTGAAGATCCTGGAGGTGTGGCAAGGATCAGGCAGCTTGGAAATCTTGTTCAGACATTTCACGCTTTGCCGCAGAAGCTGTACGTGTGTGGCATTGCTGACTACTACCGCTTGCCCCAAAGGCCCGCAGTTTTAGGTTAAGCAGACATGTTGGAACTGTCCCGATTGTGTGCGGTGAATCGAAGCAAAATTTCTTAACTTTTGGTGCATTGTGGGTGTGGAATATCAGATGGATGTACATCCTGAGGCCTTCAGCACCGCCTCAGGCCTTGAGACTGAAAACACCTTGCAAGCGATGGTGGTAAAGAGCACCACACTTGGAGTGTACAGAATGAGTATGAGGTGCCCATGAAGCTGAATGACTATGAGTACTATCGCTTGAAGGTGCTGAGCTTAATGAAGTTGCTCCACCATTTGTGGAGAAAGACAGACGGAAGATTGCAGTAGAGCTTCATTGCCATTTTTCGTCAGTTCGTTTTGTTCCATGCTATTGTTGTTCCTTATCAGGTGCGTTTGAAGGCAGCGGGTGAAGGACTTAGTTTTCCCAAAGCTTGCCTCGACACACTTGCAAACCGGTGCCTTGTTTGCTGCATGTCCTGCAGACCAGGCTTTTGCCTGGGAGGAACCATAGGCTGCACGAGTTCTCCCGCAATCCCTTTAGCGTGCCTCTTTTCGCCTCTGGCTGTCGCATGCAAAACTCCAGAGTTTCTGTCTTTGAGAAGGGCCATTGCACGATCACGCGCAAACAGCGAGTCAGCGAGTTGGTGTGAAAAGTGAGGCCGCTACTGAACGTCGACTGAGCCTGTCGAATGTCCCCTGCTTCGGTCCGCACTTCCGTCTCTTGATTGATCACGGGCCTGTAGTGGAGGCTGAGCCTGAGAACAGAGACAGGGCCTGGATTCACACATCAGAAACTCCTGATAGGAAACTGCATGAATCGCAGAAGCACGGACCATTGGAACAGGTCATTGTTGCTTGGAATTTGCTTGCATGGCTCCTGGACCCTGTGCTGAACTTGAAATGGTCCTCCTTTCTGTGAGCTTGTCAGGCATTTGCAAACCGCTAACCGTTTTATCCTTGATTGTCAAATATATAGGGAGCGAGCGATTGTTGGACCTGTGAAATTTGGAACATAGAAAGTGGCGAGGAACATTGCTGCAGCGCAGTGCTTCTTTTTTTCTGATGTGCTTCTCTTGGCGCTCTCCACTTTTGAGGTTCTGATGTCCTGAAACTTAGCAGGGATGACATCTGCAAACAGATTCGTGCGGAGGCGAGGTGTGCTCAAAATCTCTGACGAGTTTGGACAGTGCCTGTTGTGCTTTGCGATGTATTCACACCGCTTCGCGGTCGAAGCCACCCGCACGGATACTTGTGCTCTCTTAGCCGGGATCGAGCGAAGTCAACGAAAGCGAAAGCGGTCTGCTGAGCGGCCCAGGGCTCAAAGCGTCAGAAGAAGTGTACCGTGAGGAAAAGACGGTCATGGAAACAACGAGGGGTAGGTGCAAGTAAGAAAGAAATGAACATTTGGGTTAGTTTAGCAGCAGTTGCGGTGCCAGGTTTAGTATTGGTTAGGGAAGCAGCAGCGATGGGGAACTCGATGGACGTCGGTGGCTGCAGCGGATGCAGCTGAGGTCGCGCGGAGAACGCGTGCGGGGTAAAAGAGAGACGTCGGTAAGGGGAACTCTGCCGGGCCGGGACCGGATTGGAAGACAAACGCGGTGCGCAGGACTTCTTCTGGCAGCATAGACCATAGAACAGTGACGCAGGACGTCCGGATGCACGATGGTATGTTGGCTCAAAGACAGATCGGGGACTGTTTGGGGACTTGTGCTCTCGGAGGCGAGATTAGTGCGCTGGAGGCGTCATGGGCAAGCGGGAGGCCAGTCCGAAGAAAAGTTTGAAAAAGGTGCAGAAAACGGCGGCTTCGCCGACAAGTTTTGCGAATAGCAAGGTGGCGCAGAAAGGCGTGCAAGAACCATTGATGTGTCTAGTTGTCCCTTTCGCGGACCGAGCGGCAATCTTCAGTGAGGTGGCCATCCAGCGCGGGCGGTGCAAACGCCGATGTGGCGGTCTGTTTGGGCATTGATAACATGGCTGTCACTGCAGCCACAGACCCGAACTGTATGGCTGAATTACTTGTCAACGCTGCCGTCGGGCAGTACGGAGCTGCTCACAATGATCTGCAGCATCGCGCCTGACCATGCGGCAAGCTGGCAGAATGCTTGGAGTCGTTGTCACGTCACAGGCTCACCCACACCAGACGCGGGCACAATGGCTGGGTGATTTCCAGAAGATGCTTGGCAGCCTTCACTGAGCGCGTCTTCTCGGTCTCGAGGAGGGTGGGACCTGGCCCGAACGAGCGTAAGAAGTGGCACGGCGCGGCGGCAAAGATGGCTTCAAGACCCACAACATTGCTCAAGAAGGTTTAAGAGACATGCCCTAAAGAAACCTATTCACGCTGTCCAGAGAACAGAGATGAACAGAGAAACGCGTGGGCTATTGTGCTTTAAGTTTGCCTTATTTTAGGCCAGTTGCGCTCCGCTCTGGTCCTTTTTCCATCTACGACAAAGCGACGAACACATCCATGCACACTTGTTGTAGGTCCTGTGGAACTGGTGTGAGAAGCTCTTCCTTCAGATCCCCGGACTGGAAATCTGGCGCGTCCCGAAGCTGTTGAACGGAGTGGTTGGCCAAAAACTGGATCCATAAAGTTTATACGTTTTCGACCTCTGCTTTCGCTCGGGTTTTTTCTGGCACCAAACTGCATACCAATTGTGCTCAGAGACGGTGCGCGCCGGCCTCTCTATTATACTCTGCCGCGCCAACAGTCACAGGGCGTGTGAACTGTCGTCATGCAACTCAGGGTGGCGCCAAGATTGTGAAGGTCAGTTGCTTCGTTGGATTGTCCGATCGATCAAAGTCAACGAAAGCGAAGAAGATGTGCTGACCTACCACGCTCCGAGGGTCACCATTTTGGTAGCTCTACCGCCTACTTGCCAAGAAAATAGCTCTTTCAAGAAGGCCACAAAAGCGCACGCACGATGTTAGTAATGCAGGTCCCTCCGGCAGCGCAACCGACATCGCCAAAGACTTGCTCCAATGGCCACACGGAGTAGCACGCACACACGATGTTAATAATGCAGTTCCTTCGGGCAGCATAACCGACATCTAGAAAATGACCGACCCAAACTCAAGCTCAAGCTATGCTATCTAGCGGCTTATGCGACCTAAGACAACGCCTCAGCGCCTTCGGCGCGGGCGGATTTTGATACGAATGAAGCTGAAAAGCAGCGCCCTCGAAGAGAGGCTCAACCTCACATTTTGTGAGACATAGGATCATGCCAAGTAGTTTTGATTTGGCAGGCAACCGGTGGTTCGAAGCAACAAAAGATAGTGGAGAAGGCGTACTTCACTGCTACATTGCTACATGCTGTGATGATTGCTATGTATTCTTTTGCACTCATTGGACTTGGATTTTGTTGCCAACGAGCTTGGTCGAATCCAAAAGGGCCTCCTGCTGAGGATGCCCCTGCTGTACAACCTGCCGCTGCGCAACCTGCTGCTGGGAAAAGTATTCCCGCGCAACCTGCCGCTGCGCAACCTGCTGCGCAGAAACCAGAGTCAGTTGGCCAGGCTGCCATTTTGAACATCCTGTTTTGATGCAGACCCGTTTTGATGGATCAAAATATTGTCAGTGATTGGAGGTTGTAGGGATTGAACAAAGTTTTTTCCAAAGGAAAGAGGAATGTTTGGTCTCAGCCTGCAATGACTGACTTCATGTGAAACGGCTATATTTTGTACGACACATTGAGCTGGCATAGCTTCAGGATCCATCTGGGGCACAGCAGCAAGAGCCTCTTGGCAAGGCGCAGCAGATTCGAAATGAGTACACAATGCCGGCCGGCATGCAAAGATGTGTTCCCATCCGACATACCTCCAATTTGCAGGATGACGCACTTGGTCGGAAAGAGCCAGTTGTCCAGGCAGGAGATACAGCCAGAAGGGAAGATCTAACCAAACATTCCATGGGTCCGATATTTTGTTTGGTTGTGTTGGCTTACTGTGAATGCTACACTGGGTGCCAATGGCTTTTGGTCAGCTTTCCGTCACAGGATGCACCCGTGGCACAGCAAACGGAGCCAGTTGTGCAGGTGTGTGAAGCAGTGCAACGCCTTTCTATTTTAGCCTGTGGCCCTGCCTCCTTACTGGCGCCTGCTTAATGAAGCAAGGGAGTAAGCTACCAGCTACTTACGCTACTACACATGGACGCAGGACAGCTCACGTTTCTCCAAAGAAGCTCCCCCGCCCTTGAAGAAGCGTTCGCACTACTGATTTGGTTCCTAGATTTTTAGAAAGCCTTTAACTTTGGATGGCCTGTTAGGACACTCCAGCTGCACAGGCTGCGCAGAAGCAAGACCCAGTCGGACAGGCCTGGCGCTACTTTATAATCCCATTGTGATAAATGATCCAACATATTGTGAGTGGCTGTAGGGAAAGAGGAATACCATGGCTCAGGGTGCTAAATGTGGTAAGCAGATGTGTTGTAATGAAAGAAAACACATCTACATCTTCAGGATTCACCTGCCACACAGCAAGTGCCTGCTGCCAAGGCGCGGTTGTCCACTGTGTGGCTAACAAAGTGGATGTCTGTCATTTTGCCTGGAATTCTGAGGGCAGGGCCAAGTTAGCACCACGGGCTCTCAAAATTTTGAAAGAAATGATTCAACGATTCAACACTCCCAGAATCTCTCTTCACCTCATCCGGTCCATAGGATACCAGCCCCACCTAGTGCCTACTCAGTATACTCAATGCCGCAATTGGTTTAAACGCTTCACTCCACACTAGTCAGCACTCCGCTCAATTCTATAGATCTTGTTTATGTACATTGTCAGTAGAGTGCAGATAGAAGAAACATGCAGGATGTCTCCAAGCTGCAAGAGCCAACTGGGCAGGCATGCATGTTGAGATGTTCCTCGATTTGCATTTCAGTCCATGATATGTCAAACAAATTGTGGCAGGATGTGCCCTCGGAAGAGCCAGCTGGGGAGATGCCTGGCGAGGTGCCATGGGACTGCAATCACAAAAGTGTAGGGAGAAGGTCAGGCTTTGATACTACCTCTACAATCACGATTGATTTCAAAACAATATAGAATAGGCGAACCCATTCCATAATATAATTCCTCGATAAATCGACCATCGATTTCAAATAACAAAAAAAACAAAAATATATAGATATTTTTTTGTTTGATCACGAAAGCTAGCGAAGCTAGCTGGAGTTACTCTTGCGATAGCAAGGTTTCTTTCGACCGGGTGCAAATCCTAACCCATGATT